TTGTCCTGAATGGCTTGGCGAGCGACGTGTTTTGGTTGAAATAATCGGCCACAACCTTTGCTTACCGACTGTAATCTCAGCTATGTTAGCAGATCCAACAGCTTGGCAAGCAGTAGTCACCTTCTGTGAAACTGTTATGTTTCAGAAGGAAACTGCAGAGAGAGATCGAGAGAGGATAGACCCAACTCGGAGACAAAGGCGGCGCGGTAGGAATCGCCGTTGAATTTAACACCGAAACGATAGGAGGTAGTAACATAATTTGAGTGTCGCAGGTGAGTTCGTTCATTCGAGTACCCAGTGACTCTCTCATTGTTTTCTGGGATTGACTGTGTGGTTTTAGTCGGTAAGAGTCCGACATAACCTGCTGTCTGACGCTCATTGTCTAGACAAAGGGTATCCATGAGGATTTCCACACGTTAAAAAAAAAAAAAAAAAAAAAAAAGGTATATGGCAATAGCCTAACCTCCTATTACATGGGACTCATAACAGAAATAGTGAAAAGTGGGTGTTACATTGTACAGTGGCATTAAGTACCGTGATGTGCACCTTTGCCTACTCCTTCGGGGATAAAAGGTGTGATGTTATGATATGTAATCTAGGAATGTCTGGGCATGGTTACGGTGCAAACCTGAGACAAACCGTGATGACTTTTTATTATAGTTTTCCATTTTCGCACCTTTTTTATCTCCACATAACAAATGTGTGTTATTTTATGGCTTGTTCGCAACATTTTATAATTCTTAATATTATTCATAGTAGGCAGAAAACCTTTATTTTTGACTTTATGGTCTGTAAAGTGCTACCTACTTAGATTAGCAAGTTTTATTGAAAACACCTTTTATATGAATATATTTCTAAATATACTTTTGCTATAAAATTAATATTGTTTTTATGTAATTTTAATACGTGTTTTGCGAAGATAAATTATGTTAATTATTTATTCATTATCATGGGAATTGGTCAGCGTTAATTGACTTTTATCATGGCAATTTAATCAGATTTTAAATTATGTTGTTTAACCATAAAATTGACTAATTAAATAAATTATTAAAGTGTCCTTCGTACAGTTGTCGGCACCTTAATACGGTAATACAAATCACAGTTTCCACACAACAAAATCATTAAAGTTTTAGACTCAGATCGTTCTTAGATGGTCAATAATGCCCTGAACTGTTTCAAATAAAGAATATCACGTGCCCTTCTTTTGTTCGACTTGGTAACGGACTTTTGTGCCTCTAGAGTCTCGACGTATAATTTACAAAAGATTGACATTAATATTATGTACAACATAAATGTATTAATAAAGAATAAAAAAATATTTTAAAAATATTCTCACCGTTTCAATAATGTCACATTTAAAATCAAAAGTCTATCTTGTTTTTATTTTTAGTATATTTGACCCGGATTTCAAAAGTGTATATTTAACATACACCTGTAAGATTACAGATTGCAGGTTGCTAAGTAGCAACAGTGCTTGATAAAAGCCAAAACATTTCACATATTATTCATTCTAAAAATAAGTAAGTACTGAAATGCCGCTTCTTTTTAAATTATTATTAACTTTCGACTGTACCTATTTCGAGTAAAATTACAACCATTTCTATCTCCATACGTTTTAATAATACGTAAAAATATGTGTGGGAGAGCCATGCTTCGGCATGAATGCACCCAATCTCCCCAATTCCTGAATCCCCAACGATCCTCAAACTCCTAATCCCCAAAAGGCCGGTAACGCACTTATAATGCCTTTGGTGTTTCGGGTGTCCTTGGGCGACGCCGATTGCTTACCATCAGGTGATCCGTCTGGTCATTTACCGGCTTATGCCATAAAAAAAAAATTATCAAAATCAATGCAGTAGATACTTTATGTGTGAAAGCGTAAAAGGGACGACGACGAGAGACATTGTTATTTCACATTTTTTGTACATAGTAAAGGAATTTATTATTTTAACTACCCTTTACTATTTTTATCAAAAGTCTATTTCAGCGAATATTTTATTGTAATGCTAAGTCAGTACTGTATGAGCCGCGGAAGACATAACGGGTTGCCGGGGCTCCGGCTCAAAGTGCAGTAGTAGAAACTGGGTGGTTTTTATAATAAGAGTCTAACACTCCCTCCCGCCTCACCCGGGCGGGAGAAGTCATTGGATAATTTTCCCCCCTCAAAAAAAAAAGTCAGTAATGTATGCCAATATCGTGCTACCAACACCGTTAACCTGTAAACTAGTGCGTAGTTTTCATAATTGCCACAGTTTTTGCTGCGACCATTTAATAGTATGGAACACATAAATACTAAGGCAGGGTATCATTACGCTTGCACGTTCCAATACTTTACCGATTACTTTGATGTGTGGCCTAAGTTATAAAGTTCAGCGAGATTAGATTATAGAATTGGGTGTAATGCACAAAACAACTGTGCAACTGTCAATATAGGGGCGGCTAAATATTAAATATTTAGCAGATTAAAGAAGAAAAGAGAAATCAATAAATAATATAATTCATATGATTTTTTTATGGCATAAGCCGGTAAACGAGCAGACGGATCACCTGATGGTAAGCAATCGGCGTCGCCCATGGACACCTGGAACACCAGAGGCGTTACAAGTGCGGGATCGTTAGTCAATCGTTAGGGATTCAGGGATTGGGGAGATTGGGAAAGGGGAGGGTAATTAAATGTTATGTGTGAATAGTATTTGGAAGTAATTATCTTCTACTCGTCTCTAAAATCCCATTACATAATAAATCCCGCACATTTAACAAATATAAACAATTTTGAATTTTGCCGTCCAAATACATAATTATAGACCTTCAATAACTTCAATGATCCAGATACATGGATTTGAACAAACTCATTTTTTCTGAATACCTCTACTCCGCTTAGGATTTGCGCCATACAACCCCAGAGGCAGCACGCAACTAGCCGGCGTAGAGCCTCCAAGTATGAGGAACGGCATTCGTTGCGAAAATTTACAACCGCAGTGATGCAACGCATCAATGGCTGGACGATATGCTGTGGAAAGTGTTCAGAATATCAGAATATGTTCAGAAAACATAGTCAAGATTTTTGATCTTGTGTTCCAAAAGGATAAAATGTTAAACCAAGTTTATTATATTACTCCAATTGAAAATTGACTGCCTCTTTGGCCCAGTGGTAGCAAGTGCGACTGACGGGCAAAGGGTTTCGGGGTTCGATTCCCGGGTCGGGCAAAGTATTACTGGGTTTTTTAAGAAAATTCAGTAGTAGCACGTGGTTTGGAATTGTGCCCTACCGGGGGTGAGCCTATTGCAGTAGGTATACTGCAATAGGCTCACCCCCTATTACATAGGGCTCATAACTTAAAAAGTGAAAAGTGGGGGTAACGTTGTACATAGCATTAAGTGCCGTAATGAGCACCTCTGCCTACACCTTCGGGAATAAAAGGCGTGATGTTATATTATGTCTAATTGAAAACTGAAGACTACTTATACATTACATAAGTACGTATATCACGATTTTCTTTATACTGCTGTAGGTAGCAATAATCCACCTGATGGTATGTGGTCTCCGTAGCCCAAGTATACCTGTATAACCAAAATTACTTTGGAAATCATGTAGAAAATTGCTTAATGGCGCCATTATTTTGGAGGATGTGTCACATACATACATAACTTCACGCCTGTCTCCCATGGGGGTAGGCAGAGACTAAGGAACGCCAATTACTACGATTCTTACATACCTCTTTCACTTCATCAACAGTCATCAATCTTTTCATGCATCCTCGTCGGTTAAGGGTACTTTTAATTTGGCCCTTCTTTAATATATCGCCAATCTGGGGGCTTACTCTTGAATCCAATTCCGATCGATCGACATTGGTATTGTGAAATTTCGTACTCTTGAGTTGCAATACTAGAGCCCATTGCATCCGTATTGCGTAGATATTGAATGAACTAAATGGTATTGAGTTTGTCTTTATATTCCGTACTCTGAATGCTATTGTAACAGCTAAGATTGTGGTTGTATAGTGTTGACATTTAATAATTATTGAGATCATATTGGATTGAAATTGCATTGACATTGAGATTGGTTTCAAGAGTAAGCGCCCTGGTCACTATATGTCCGTCTAGGGCGCCCTCTACCGAGGGCCCATTCATATCCGCTCTGTATACTTCTTTTGTTACTCTACTTTCATCCATCCTTTCTACATGTCCAAACCAGCGTGACATTCCTTTTTCATGTGTCCTCGGAAATAAAGTATTACATTAAATAAAGTCCTATTTTTATGACAAACTCAATAACTGTTTCAAGTCTAGGATAGAACTAAAACTGTTACATTAATAACTACTATTACACATACCAACCTTGAACGATTAATTTATATTTGATTAATGTTATGAATGACGGGGTCACTGAACCGTAGTGGTCATTTACTAAGGGTGTTTCACGATCAATATAATCGCGTGTCCACTAAGGGGACGATGAATTTGGTTACCATACTGTACTTATTTAAATGCATATTAAAGCAGATTTAACTGCGAGTTGAGTTTAGTGAGTCATACTATTTTTACTACTGTGCTTATTTATTTTAAATACATCACGATTTAATTTTAATGTATTATAAGTAATAAAAATAAATTAAATATGTAGTAACAAAACGTATTCAGAATTGGATCAACAACAGCACAACATAAAACAATAAAACCTTTTTTTATTAACCGCGTTAAAGTTTGAATTATGAATTAGAAAAAAAAATCTTAGCATTGATTGTCAATATTGTTTGTCATTACTCGAAGAGTCATATTTTGAATTTGAATTACTCATTTTGAGTCAGTCGAAATAAGATCGATTAATTAATCTGTAATTTTAATTTTACACAGTTTTCATAACAAATCATTGTCAAAAGACAATTTTAAAAAAAGAAGAGAACAAAAAGCCGCGAACGAATCTTGTTTTTTTAAAAAGTGTATGATACCATAAATTAAATCTTATTTTTCTTTACTTACAAAAAGTTATTAAATTCCAGGTGCCCGAATGAGTGTAATATAAAGTGTCAGTGAAGTGTTGAAGTGCAAGTGATGTTTAGTATGAGGTGATAGAACAATAAATGAGTAATAATGTATCGACCGAATTTTTATGAAAGTACGTGCTTTCGTTGCAACGAGATTGTGTATCAGGTGGATAGGGTCGGTCCGTTGAAGGATTTCACCTTTTTCCATAGTGGCTGCTTCAAATGTGCCGTCTGCGGGACCAAGTTGACTTTGAAGGTGAGTTTTTAATTATAATTTCATAATTACGTATATTTTCCTCACGTTTTTAAATATTTTTACATGATTGTACCATGATTTATTTTTGTATATTAAGTATATAGATTTTATGCCATTGTTAAACACCATCCCTGAGGATACCAAAATAACCCTTTGGTATTTTTCGTAAAAATCCGTACGAGAATTGAATCCGTTCTTGGATTTTGTTTGTGTGGTCTTTTGTAACTGATAAGGGCCTGGACAGTATCGACCAGTTGGCAAAACGCCAGGATTGCGGCTGGTTTACCAATGTAAACAAGGCTAGGCGACTTACCAATTACGTCACAGTATACTGTTCCTTCTCTACTACTCTCACGTCATCACGGTGAACCATCAGATTTGTACTACGTACTCCCATCAGGAAAAACTGTAACAACACTATTTTTAAATATAACAAAAATGATGCAAAAGCTTTTACAAAAATAGCTTGATAATCAAAACGGCCAATGAAACCAGTTTCTCATGTTTACATATTGATAAACAGAGTGGCTATTTCCTAGTCTCTGCCCGGCCTTGTAATGCCGCATCTTCACGACCTTCAGAAATCACTAGTTGGCATTTATCCGACCTCTAACATCTTGAAACTTTTTGCCACAATTTTTATAAAATCCGGCTATAAAAAGATGTTCGTAATATCCATTCTTGTTTTTAAATGAATTAGTTAATATAAAGTACTGTTTCGTTTGTCTTGCGTTTATAAATATGACTAAGACAGGTCCTGGTTCAGATTAATTGCTGCTTAACGTGTCACAGGTTATGACAGGTTTGGTTCCTCAAATTCCACGGTGCATCAGCCAAAGTAGCTACTAGTGATGTTACAGGAACTTAGAGCCAGTTAATAACAATTCTTACAAATGTACATATGAATTTGATTCAAAATTTTAAGTGTGGGAGAGCCATGCTTCGGCACGTATTGGCCGGCTCGACCGGAGTGATACCACAGCGTCACAGAAAACCGACGTGAAGCAACGCTTGCGTTGTGTTTCGTCGTGTGAGTGAGGTTACCGGAGGCCCAATTACCCTCCCCTTCCCCAATCTCCCCAATTCCTGAATCCCCAACGATCCTCAAACTCCTAATCCCTTAAAGGCCGGTTACGCACTTGTAACGCCTCTGGTGTTCCAAGTGTCCATGGGCGACGCCAATTGCTTACCATCCGTTTGCTCGTTTACCGGATATGCCATAAAAATGTATATTATGATTTTGATCTCGTATCCAATGAGGTCAAGAATGAGAAAAAATTACAGAGTGAGGATCCTTACGGCTTATTTCATACACATTTTTAAGTTATCCTTTCCACTCCTAACTATGTTCTAGAATCTCTCCAAATAAATAGTATGAATATTTAAAAGAGAGTTAGCAGAAAAATGTGCATTAAAGTCATGAGATTCACGGACATTCATTAGTTAAACCGTTTTGCGTTTAATTGTGTATTTAAAAGTATTAGCGGTACATTGAGGAATGTCTCAGTAAATACTTGCATTTAAAATTATAATGTAAATAAGAACGGGAAGTGTAGACGAATAGGTGCTGTTTTCGTTAACAGTCTCTTGGTGAAATGGCAAAGTATGCCTAATATGTGACGTGCTTCAAAGTTTTCGAGAAAAAGGACGTCATAATCATATTGGCGTCTCCAACGACTTCCAGGCTTGTGAGACTGGACGATCTGATAAACGTCTAAGGAAGCCGCTAGATAGAGGTTGCTTCCAACGACCCAATCTTGAAGTCACTAGGGAGGGGGGACAGTTGACGTCTAGTAGCTGGTAAACATGATGATAATGATGATACACGTAACTATGAATCGCTGTACATACATAAACAATAATAATTAACTAAAAATCGCGGGTTACTCACGTGAAAATACTGAGAAAGGCTCTACTAGTTTCGAACCATGGAGGGGTTCTTCTAGCCTAGAAAACCTATTGGTAGTGTTGGCTGCCCGACATCGCCGCGACCGCGCACGCTATTATTTATTATAAACCTAACAATATAATAATAATATAAATAAAGTTTACAGTATCAATTAAAATCTTCCAGCATTTTTCTGAAGTTGGGTAACAATCAAAATTCTAACATAAGTACCTATATAATATTATTATCAAACAAGTACTTCATTAAAGAACCGAGGTCAAGGCGTACGACAAAGTTCATAAAGAATACAATATAATTATTTGCACGCACATTACACAGTTATTAAATGTAAGTAAATAGCTGCCGTAATATGAGTCATTATGTGTGATCTGATGTTGTGTCATATGACCTTATTCTGTTTGTTTAGCACCAGGTTTAATGAAAAATATATATAATACACTGTTTCCATTCAGAACTTTTATCGCATAGGTACTATAGCTATCGACTGCACGGTTGGTGCGGTGGCTGGGCAACCGGCTACCGTGCAACCTGTCGCGGGTTCGATTCCCGCACGGAACAACACTTTGTGTGATCCACAAATTGTTGTTCCGGGTCTGGGTGTGATGTGTATGTGAACTTGTATGTTTGTACACGCACCCACGACATAGAAGAAAAGCCTAATATGTGGCAACGGTTTAAAAAAAATAGCTGATCCGGCAAACTTCGTTCCGCCTAAAATTTGGTCTCTCACTTTTTAAACCTTCCCTGGACTTCCATGAACATTTGAAGGCCAAAATTGTCCAAATCGGTTCAGCCGTTCTCGAGTTTTGGCGAGACTAATGATCGGAATTAGATGTATTGCGTGGAAGAGCCGTGCTTCGGCTCAAGTGGGCTAGTTTAACTTACTAGAGTAATATCAGGACCTCAGAGAAAACCAGCGTGAAACAACGCTTGCGTTATGTTTCACTGCGTGAGTGAGATTACCGAAGTCCCAAAGCTTCCAAACGATGGGAAAGCACTTTGAACTTCTTTGATATTGCAAATGTCCATGAGCGGCGACAATTGCTTACCATCAGCTAGTCCATCAGCGCATCTGCCTCTCTAACTCATAATAAACACATACAAGGTCAACGACGGCATCCTGCAATCCCATCCATTGGCCAACCGCACCTACTGTAGCTGAACCTAAAAGAGAGTGATACGTGCTCTATACACATAACACGTATTACATGACTGAATGACGTCCATTACAACGTCCTCTGTCGAATATAAAATATTAATGTAACATTATGCCCGTTTATTAGTGCTTGTTTTTATTTGGTATCAGCCAGAAATAATTTCATTTCAGATATTATTAAAAAATGTTGATACTATCATTCACTGTTTTGATAATATATTTTAATATTTCATTAATTTTCTTTGTTTCTATGCATGCTTCTATAAATAACCAGCCTAAATGCCATATAAAGTATACCAGTTAACGTAAACAAATTGCATCATTTCCCGCTAGCTAGATGGCGCCAGTGACATAGAGTCATATTAGTCCAATCAACTTAACTGTCATAAGTTAATGGACTACTGATTTGACATTAACAAAGTATTTTATTGTTCTATAGAAATTAAACTATACCAGAGCTTCTAGTAGTGCGAAAATCCTCATTAAAAGACACAGAAAATTAAACATTAAAACTACCATGGCACAACGTCTATTATTCCTTGTAGATATCTAAAAATCCTTAAACCCTTGAAGGCAAAAGGTATAATATTTCAATTAGTGGTGAATTCAACGTCATTTAATTCAGTTTCTCGTTCCTAACTGTTCGGTTAGCACAACAGTTTGATCTAAACGATAATTAACAGTTAACTGACGCACACGGTTATGGGAAATGCATACACACCTCTATTTGTTGGCGGAGCGTTTTGTAGGCCACTTGTCTGTATAGAATTTTCTCGTTTTTATTTAGGTAATTTAACTTTACTTAAGATTGGTTACTAGTATATTATAATTATTTAGGATATTGTGTCAAGTTTCAATCCTGAGTTAGGAGAAGTCTTGTTTAGCGTGAAAATCTGTCACTTTTTTTTTCAGTGGGGAAAATCATCGAATGTCTGCTCCCGTCTGGGTGAGGCGAGAGGGAGTGTCAGACTCTTACTGACTAAAACCACCCCGTTCCTTCTCCTACACGTCGATCCGGAGCCCCGGTAACTCGTTAGGTTCTCCACGACTGAAAATCTGTCACTTGGAGATATAATTTGGCTGTAGCAGAATTCCAAAATATTTGCCTACACCTTCAAAAACAAAAACTAGCATAATGTTAGGTACATAGGCGGTGTTATTACCTCTAGAATAGATACTATTTTTGCTTAACCTCTTGAATGCACCGATATGAAACACAATAGAAAATACATTGTGTCTGTGTTTTAGACACACGAAACGTTAAAGAATCAAAAACTAAAGTAGGTACGTACTTACAATTTTGAACTTAATTTTGACCCAAACACGGTATCGATACAAACGCAAACATAAAACTGGAAAAATATATATTAGACCGACAATACAGAAACCCATTCAATGAATAATCCAATAAAAACATTCACTTTGTCACAAATTAACTGTCCATATCGTTTTCCATTCATAAAACACCAACATTATATGACCCATTGATCCATTTTACGGTCTTAAATATCGAGGGTCACGTTAGACTGGTTTCCAGCCATTGTGTTGGCTATAATTTGTGTAAAATGAATCAGTTTGACCAATAAAAGAGTAAAAAGTGACGTAACTTTACTGTTGTTCATATGAATCATGGTTTTAAACGAGGGTTTTTTGAAATTAAACTCTATTTAAATATTGTTATGCCACCTTTTGGATCACGGCAGTGGAGAATACATCGACGCTGGAAACCACAATGTTGTAAGGAACAAATCAGGACTTTACAGGCAGGATAGGAACGAACAAAATTGGACTCTGCAAATCCTAGCCATTTTTTATTATTCCAACCATTTTAATGTTTTTTAGAAATTTAAATCATGGTATGTGTGGAAATTAAGGCTCACAGAAAACCGACGTGAAGCAACGCTTGCGTTGTGTTTCGTCGTATGAGTGAGGTTACCGGAGGCCCAGCTACCCTCCCCCCTTCCCCAATCTCCCCAATCCCCGAATCCCCAACAATCCTCAAACTCCTTATCCCCATAAGGCCGGTAACGCACTTGTAATGCTTCTGGTATTCCAGGTGTCCATGGGCGACGCCGATTGCTTACCATCAGGTGATCCGTCTGCTCGTTTACCGGCTTATGCTATAAAAAACGCCTCTTATGTAGAGGCCCATAGTCCAACTTTCACGCGCTGTTGACCTTTTAAAGAATTACCAATCTTACTAATTATATTAAAAATGGACCAGCAAATAACCTTATCTTATCTTCTTCCACAGACATACTACAATAACCAGCACTGGACAGAAGACAAAGAAGTTTACTGTTCCAGTCATGTGCCTAAGATTGGGCCTGGACATCTGGACAACTCCTCTGTGGGCATACGCAGTGCACTGAATGTGCCCAAAAGTAACAATTATGTCAACGAACAGATTCGAGGACACGCCAGAAATAGCCACGATAATGAATGTAAGTGATATTTATTCTTCTTCTTTCTCTTCTTCAATATTTTCTTAAGTCATTCCATTTAATTGAACATGTAAATAGGCCAGTCCCACCGCACCCACACAAGGTTCTGATTCTAACTGAATGGTATCATTATCATTCATACAAGTTGCATTCTGTCATATATTTTTTTTATTGATTTAGGATTAATCTTAGTAGTAGCCCGGAGTCTGAAATTGTAGCCGGTATATGGCAATAGGCTCACCCCCTATTACATGGGACTCATAACATAAATAGTGAAAAGTGGGTGTTACATTGTACGGTGGTATAATGTGCACCTCTGCCTACTGCTGTGATAAAAGACGTGATGTTATGTTTTTTTATGTACATTAAAACATAACGTCCAATGAATTAAAGTCAGGACTTCAAACTATTCCAAATTACATAAGATGGCCACGATCAGGAAATATTTGTTTATTTACCCAACTAACAATAAACAATAGTACTTCGACAGACCTCAATTTCATCTATTTATTTACGGAGGCATTTTGGAAAAAGCAGGATGTAAAACAAAGGTCCATTTCAACATTTTCGGAATTAAATAGAAAAATGTTTATTCAAAACCCGTCTGAATAGATAAATAAATGTTCTATAAGAAATAAACAAAGCCGGGTATGGTCAATAAACGGGGACAATGCCATCGTGCAAGGGCATCCATTGTTTTAATGCAATCAGACATCGATCACACAATGACTCCATGAGTCCAAATCATTGGCAGGTTCCAATCAATCATTCGATCAATTCTTTGTCTAAGAAATCTTGGACTTAGAGCTATGTACTCTACAATAATAGAATTAAATTGAAAATAGTAATTTATTTGAGGAATTTAGCGTTAATAGTGTATTGTATACAAATATCTCGGTCTTATTGAATTTAAATAACATTGATAAAACGATAAAAAGTTTCTCCGGTATATACAATTCATACTCAAGCCACGCTGCTATCAATGCAGCCAATTAAAAAAAATCGGTCTATTATTTTAAGATATCTACTTAACTATGGTACCAAATGTTAAATTCAAGTTGAAAATACTTCATTTCACCTTTAAATTCGTCAAGCCACATCAAGAGCGTTGCGCGTGAGCCTCTGACGTCATAAGCGCGAAATAACGTCACTCTGTGGTCATGTAACTTGAATGTATCATTAATTCATTGGTGTGTCACTACAAGCCTTTATTACCGTAACCTTTTTGCACCTTTTTATTGACGGCCATCGCGCCATTCCGTCTGGTAATGAGTATTTTTACCTTCCTTATCATCCATCATCATATCAGCCACGAAACGTCCTCTGTTGAACACAGGCCTCCCTCCCAGTAGGAATGAATTCCAGATCATCCGGTTAGAACGTCCTTCAACAGATCATCCAGATCCCTATGATCCCTATGATCTTTATTAGATATTTTGTCCATCTTGTGTATTTCTTTATTATTGTTATAGGACACAACATTTAGTAATTTCTTTTAAAACCCACAAAACGGTTAAACCACAACGGTTATAAATAAACGCGTAAAGAATTTAAATAGACAGGTATGTGTTAAAACCGCGCGATTTTCCGTTATTTAACAAATAAAATGTCTATCACAAATCCGCATCAAAAAAGCATAAATAACAAGCAGAACTTGCAAGAATCCAGTCTCACTTCCGAAGAAGGTACGATGTTACGCGAAAGCTTTTGAACTTCGCCACACTTCGGGATACTTCGGGTCCATTCGTATCGGAGAGCGAGAGGTCAGTGTGTGTTAGAAGGGGAGGGGAGAACTTGTTGCAAAACAACCGGCCACATTCCACCGTCGGCAGCCCAGTGACCTAAAGCTCGGTACTAGTCGGACCTTTGGACCCTATCTTGAGCTTACCTTCAAAACTACGGCCATTTGTAGAAACTGAATTTAAATATTTGAATAGTTTTTGAAAAAAATAGCACGCATTGCTTCCATAACACAATTGGAAGTTCCATAATAAATCTGAATTTAAGATAGATTGTAATAACCAATTGCCTAAAACATTAAAACAATTAACGTTTTTATTAAAGTATCATAGTGCTCTATAATTAGTCCTGAGAGTTCAGTAACGTCCAGTTTCAATAGCCTATCTATCTGTAGATTTGCTTACTAAAGGTAGAATTTTGACACTTTTTGTATGAAACTGGACGTAAATCAAAACGTACAATATTATGTGGCGACATAATACTGTGGTTTGCAACAGAACTTCGTGTAATTAACCCTTGGACTGTCCGTCTGCCAGATCGCAGATCTAAGTAACACAAAATGTTTTTTATTGTGTGTCATAAAGTTCCAGACGAAAGGTTAATTATCAATGATGCACTTGACGAACGGGGCAGACCAAATAAGGAACACTTCTTGGGTCCAATAAAGTAATATGAGAATCTATGAATTTCTCAGCAGTAGCATGGAGACTGAAGTCGTGGCTGATACATGGCAATAGACTTGATCCATGTCACATATTATAATATTCGTAACATATCTGGTGATAATTGGGTGTTACATTTTATAATGTGTTGACTACGCTTCGCAGACTCAAAAGCAAGGTCATATGGAGTGTGTTTAAAGACTTTTATTCTCATAAGAACATGAATACAGAGTTCACATAGATGAGAACAACACAATTAATATAAAAACATATATTCAACAGCCTATATGCCCCACTGCTGAGCAAAGCCTCTTCTAATATGAAGAAGGTTTAAGCATTAATCACCACGCTTGCCCAATACGGGTTGGCGATTACAAACTTATAACTAGAAATTATAATTCCAGGTTTCCTCGCAATGTTTTCCTTCACCGTTTGTCAGTGGTGTCTAGATAATCTTAGACAGTAACACATATAACTCGGAAGAAGTCACATTGGTACTTGCCCGCAGTAGGTTTCCAACCCGCACCCTCATGCATGGGACTCGGCGTCTTAAACCGGGCCACCACGTAACCGATTAAAACCGATAAAAACATATATAAACGTTATGTAATCCGAATAACGAAGCGAAAGAGGTTTGTAAGAATTGTAGCACATGTACTGCTTTGCTGTCTCTGTCTCACAGGTTATGTATGTATGTATGAAACCCAAACCGAATTCGAAATTCCTTAAGCATCAGATAATATTAAATGTAAACAAATCTTGTCTTGACACATCAAGTCGTACCTCTATAACAAGCGATCAATTAAGGAACGCCAACGTGAACGATTGTTTTACATAAAATTGAAAATATATTGCTAACCTGTCAATATGCGCCTACATTCAACATTGTTCTCACGTATATTTGATCACAAAGGTACCAAGGACCCTTGCGTTAAAGCTTTGAGGAGATTTATTGAGTTCTAGGTAAACTGAAATTTATAGATAAGTTTGACTACTTCGTTGACTCGGTCCCCAAGTTGGGTTAAGTGCTATTAGGCATTTTTGGGTTATATGAAAATCTCGCATGCAGTTAATCAAAGTTAAAGTCAAAGTCAAAATCAATTATTTCAATTAGACCTGGAAGGCAGTTTTGAACGTAAAAACAAAATATTGAAATACTAGTGACCCGCCCCAGTTTCGCATGGGTTCAATATGCATGTATTATACATATACACCTTCCTTAATTAAGAATCATTCTATCTATTGAAAAAAACACATCAAAATCCGTTGTGTATTTTTAAAGATCTAAGCAAACATAGGGACAGACAGACGGCGGATAGCGACTTTGTTTTATACTATGTAGTGATTAAAAAAAATGTTAGTCTGTCGGTCAATCCTCTAGTGAGGCTATTTGCTCGTTCCAAAGTGTGGGTTCCTATGGAGAAGAGCGAGCAAGAAACTCCTTAAGTTACTCTTTTTCAATCAGATTCTAGCATAGACTTTCGAATTGGGGCGATATATGACAACAGGCTCACCTAACACCTCCGACTCATATTAGATGGGACTTATAACTGAAAAAATTACTTTGTCTATCCGTTCGGGTCATACCAATGTAGGTAATATAGATTCCAAAACGTAGGTTGTGTAAATAAAAAATAAACAGTAAAAGCTATGAATGTATTTACTTAACCGACAGTTGTTGAAACTGAGTTCGTTAGTTATTCCGTCACCAGCAGCTCGCCTATTAAACCTATCGTAGGCGACACAGGAATTCTAAAACGACTGTTTACACATTCCTGGTTGAATTCTAAACTGGATTAGTTTTGATTTAAAATAAGGACCATTTTGGTGACAAAATTGGTGTTTTTTATAAAAAACCAAACAGACAGTAGGTACGAAAATTATGATACCACACACTTTGCCATGACCAAAAAAATGAGAGCACAGATCGCTTTATCATTTTCAACATCTAAAATGTCCTGTGCTGGAGATAAACCTCTTCCATATAACGTGCGCCCAAATGCCTACTCATTACCAATAAAAAAAAATCACTGTTAAGAAAGAATTCACACGTCAATGTGGTCATTTTTGAAAGAAGTTCAATTAATATACATACATAACATACATAACTTCACGCCTATCTCCCATGGGGGTAGGCAGAGACTAAGGAACGCCAATTACTACGATTCTTACATACCTCTTTCGCTTCATTAACAGTCATCAATCTTTTCATGCATGCTCGTCGGATAAGGGTACTTTTAATTTATTTGGCCCTTCTTTAATATATCGCCAATCTGGTCACTATATGTCCGTCTAGGGCGTCGTCTACCAACGGCCCCATTCATATCCGCTCTGTATACTTCTTTCGTTACTCTACTTTCATCCATCCTTTCTACATGTCCAAACCAGCGTAACATTCCCTTTTCAATCCTTGTCACTACATCATCTTTCAATCCACACATTTCTCTAATACCACTATTTTTTAATTAATATATTTAGTAAAAATTCGTCTTAATCTATAGATTTTGATTTGACTTTGTCTAATTAAGGCTGCTAATGTCACTTAAACTTCACTCAACTTCTCTTTACTTAAACCTTCGTCTCTAATCTAAATGTTCC